TGTCACAGATCCGAAGCCTGACCTGGAAATAACAGTCCTCAGGTATTGCTTTTGTCTTTAGTATGCTTGCTTCTTTCAGATCTACACCAGAGTGCAAGCTCCACAAGGGCAGTGCTAACCGCAGACATTTGCAGAATGATTATGTGTAACCATTCATATAAAAGAAAAAGTAAAACTTCAAACTAATCTGAAGTTTCTACCTTGAGATGATAAATACCCCACTAGGCTATTTGTAGAAACTACCATTTCTAAGTGCAGAACCCATAGTTTGATTTGAATGTGTCTTCTTTTAAGGAGAAAAGGGTGGGTACATTTCTGGACTGGCTGCTTCCCTGGGGTGCCAGGTCTGTACACACTCTGAAGTCACCAGGACACTAGCCACTCAGTCTCATATAAATTCTGTCTCAGGAGTTTGGGGGGAGAGAAAACATGGTCCCCAGATTCCTTCTAAATGCTCCAGGGAGGTGAAGCCTGAATCTGGCGTTAGGAGGGGAGCTGTAGACCCCAGGAGTCCCCAGAAGGAAACAAGCCTGGCTCACACCATTGAGGAGCCCAGGTCTCATTACTGCGGATGGCTTTCTTTGCTTAGAGCAATGCTTTCCATGGGGAAGTGGAGGTTGGCAGGGAGACACAGCCTCCTTCCCACTTCCCAGAAGCTCATCCAGTAACTTCTTTTGTTGCTTTGGTGGGTCTTTTGAGACAGGGACTCACTCACACAGGCTGCAGTTAAAGACAGCCTTGAACTTCTGACCCTCCACTGCACCAGGTGCTATGAGGTGCTGGGACAGAACTCAGGGCTTTGTGCATGTTAGGAAAGTCCTCTACCAGCTGAGCTACAGCCATTATCATGAGAAAAGAGCAGGAAAAGGTCAGACATGAGGTTTCATCTCCCTTAACCTGACAGGGAGGACCACAGTTGTGGCTGGTGGTGGCTGAGGTCCACATGTTAGGTTATAAACAGAACCAGTCCTGAGTCAGTTTGTGGGAACTTGAAATACAAAAACCATGCAGTCATACGTGATGTCTGGAGACTCTGGCTCTTCCAGCTGCAGCTCCTTACGCATAGTTCCCTCAATTTCTGCAGCCAAGGAGTCCTGGAAAAAGACAGAAGCCGTGTTGAGTGAGCAAGGGCATCCATTTCTACACCAGGGCTGAGGCCAGAAGAGCCACAAGGGAAGAAATAGGTGGTCCAGCCGTCTCCAGACTTCTTGCCACACAAGGCTAAAAGCATTCTCCACAGAGAGAATCTGCTGACCCAAGGCCAAGGCGGGTTTTGAGCACACAGCATCTTTGGGTGAGAGTGAACAGCCCCTTACACTAATATGGCTGTGTCTAAAAGCTAGTCCATTCAAGGCTTCCTTGGCCAAACTACAGAGGTAAAATTGTGGCTACAGTACAGGACGGGGAACTCGAGGGGGCACAGGAAAGTGTGTTCAGAACAGCAGGAACAAATGTAGCTCTAAATATCTCTAAGCCTTCTGAAATGTCCTACATGGCCTCCCAGCCCCCACAGGTCACACTAAGCTGGGAGGACCCCCCAGGTCTGCAGTCCCAGCTCCTTAGGACTAGGACACCCAGGAGGCCAAGGCTGTACCTCCGACTCCCAGGCAGGCACCCAGCTGCCAAGGGCTCTCTGGCAGGGCAGGGGTCCCTGCCTCATGGACTAAGTCACGCACACTGCCACCGCGGTGCTTTCTCTGGAAGCTCCTCACCCCACCGGCCAGCCGCAGCACCCACCTTCACCATGTGCTCAGGAAACAGGACTGCTTCTCCCAGCAGGAACGCCGTATTTCTTCGTTGTAAACACTCCCTGCCCACCCGTCACTTCTGACACTACTGCACCCCATCCCTTGCACATGTCTATCTCTCAACCCCTTAATTCCTACTAGTTTTCTTGAAGTACACCGCCACCCTTTTGGGGGTGGGAGAGGGTGGCATGAGCTTTAGGGTCACGGGAAGGCTGGTTCTTGAACACTACTGACTCCCTAGGTGTACTGAGAAGGTTGACCCCACATGCGCCCCACTCAGCCCTCTGATTTGAGGAACATTTATGAAAACAGAAGACATAGTTCCCTCAATGTTCATGGGTCCCCAGATTCTATCCATGGATTACAGAATAAAAACTCCCACCACAAAGTGAAAGAATTGGAATATTGCCGAGTAAAACCTGCTACTGGCAGTTGGAACGGCAGAGAGCAAGAGGCAGATCCGGGTGCTCAGCTCCAGGAACGCAGGCATGCTGCATGCTGCTTTAACTGCCTTTAACGCACGACACCCTTCAAAACAACCACCCTCAAAACCTGGGCTTGCCAAGAGCCTCAAAGAGGCACCAAAAGCTTTTCAGCAAATACGACAGCTGAGAATCCTTCCAGAAGACATGGAGAAAGGTGTGTGCTACCCATCTCTCCTCACACGATGGTTTGGTTTTCTCTTCTTTTTAAATTGTATTTTTTATTTATTTTGTGGACACATGCGGGTGCTTGTGTACCATGGTGTACCCACTGAGGTCAAAGAACAACCCTTGGGAGTTAGTTCTTTCCTTCTGCCTTGTTGAGATGGGCGTTGTTCTTATTTCTACCACTTTTCAGTGTATTCCAGGCTAGCCGGCCTGCAAACTTCTGGGCAATTACCCTGTCTCCACCTCCCATCTCATAATACGAATTCAGAATTACAGATGTCCACCACCAGATCCGGTTTTCATGTGGTTTCTGGGGATCACTCAGTGGAGCAGGCTTGCACAGCTGGTGTTTTTACGTGCTGAGCCCTGGTTTTGCAAGACAGTTTTAAGCCCTCAGCCATGCCCACTAAGCTACCCAGTCAACTCCCTGGCTCACTGAGCTGGACTTGGTGGAGCTGTTCCTCTGGGCTGTGACTGCCCTCTCTGAGGTGGACTGAAAACAGACTTCCCAGGAAAGTATCTCAGCAAGAGCTCCCTCCATAAATCCCATCTCAGCTGAGATGGCTCCGAGAAGGTTAATTCCTGGAGCCTGTGTCAAGGCGGAAGGAGAGAACTACTCCACAGAGTTATCTTCTGGTCTCCGCACATGTACAATATACAATGCGCCCTCTCCCATTATCACATACAAATACAATAATAATAAATAAACATTTAAAAAAATTAAAAAACAAAAACCTCTTCTCACTTCAGAGAGGATTCGTTATTCTGCCAGAAAAATGTCTGGAGCAAAGTCTGAATATGCAGGAGCTCTTGGAGGCCTGTTTTCAAGCCATCTGTCTGTCATCCACCAATCAGTCCATGTGGAGCGGCTACAAAGCCATGTACTAACTTGCACAGTGCGGTGGAACACAGCTAATGCATGGCCCCACCCTCAAGACACTCTGGTGTGCTAGAAGACAGAATGAGCAAGCTCAGTCCCTTACAAGCAGATGTCACAGGGGAACAACTGACTGACTAAAGGCTCCGCCCAGTACAGCCAGTGTCCATGGGGAGACTGAACCTGAAACCCCCTTTGTCCTTCACGTTCCCTTCAAAGCACCAATATTGAACAAGCCAGGCCAGGACTAAAGAAATAAGATGATGGAAAAATACTGTTTTTAAAAAAATTGACTCAGATCCCAGACACTAAATGATACCAAGAGAAGGGTTAATAAACACATAAAGAACCAGGAGAAGAGCAGGCTCTTTAAGACATGGGGAAGGTGCTTCAGGGAAAAATAGCCCACACAGCAATAGCAGCCATAAGTGACACCTAACTAAACCAAGTTCCCCGTGAACTTCTCTCGTAACAGCAGGAGTAGAAAGAACAGACAATAAAGGGCCAGTCTGTCCTAGGGAATTAGGAAGCCCCGGCTGGGCAGGTCCAGGTCCAAACAGGAAAGATGCAGGCCCAGTGGTCAGAAAGGGACACGAAGCCCCTGGCAATGGCCTGGGGACAGAGGGGCACAGGAGAACCCACTTACCATGGGGAACAGGCCCAGGGAGTGGTAGCGCCGGGACGTGGTGTTGGGCATCGTCTTGTTGCGCAGGTTCTTCAGTTCCTCCTGTGCCTCGTGAAGCATTTCCATGCACTCTGCATACTTGTCCTCCAGCTCACGCAGCTTCAGGGAAAGGCAGAGGGTCAGGCCTGCCCTGCACCAGGGAGCGCCCAGGCGCTGACCCACCCACAAGCCCGCCCTCCCTCCCACATGACACAACAGTCCTCATGGAACCAGCCGCCTTGTAGGCACACAGCACGGCCGGCTGGATCCACAAGGCTGGCTTTTCCTTTCACTTGGGGAACGCTTCTAGACGGGAAAGCTGCTAAAGGTTCACAGTGGGCAAGCCGGACGGACAGACACTAACTGGTAAGAGGCAAATCGTAACCCTTGTTTCCAGCTTCGTCGTCTTTCATTTCTGTTTGATTCAGGGACTTTCTCTGTAGCCCAGGCTAGCCTAAACACATAGCAATCCTCCTGCCTCAGCCACTCATGGACTGGGATTGCAAGCATGTACCAAAATGCTCAGATTCAAGCCATATCTTTGAACAGCTCTTTACACATGCCTGTGGTATATTTTGTTCACCTAGTTGAACATCCTGACAGTTGGCATCTGTCAGGAACTAGAATATTCCAAGTCCTGGGCTGGTACTGAATCACCTCCTTGTGTTCCAACACCCACCAGAGGCAGTAGGCACAGGACCCAGGTAAAACAGTATTATGCTAACTGGATATTAAAATGTTGGTTATGAGGGGAATGACCTAGGCCTGTTGAGTGTGTGTGTGTGTGTGTGTGTGTGTGTGTGTGTGTGTAGTCGGGTGGATATGCCTTCCCGGAACCCAAGGCCCTAGAGAACTGAGGCAGAGACACCCACCTCTGCTGTGAGTTGCCGCTGGGCGTCCTTGGCAGCGCCCAGGTGCTGGACGAGCTCTTCATTTTCCACCGCACACTAAACATGGTAAAGACAAGTCCTCTGTTAAGACACCCAGAAGAGACCACCTTTCCCTCTAGTTACCTGTCAACAGCCTGTCCCTGAGGAACTCAGCACCTAGGACCATGACCTGACGCTGGAGCTGAACATCGTCTTTCATATAATTGAAAAAAAAAAAAGCCATCCTTTTTAAAACTGTTTTCATTCGTGTGTGCGTGTGCATGCGTGTGCGTGCGTGCATGTGTGTGCATGCATGCGTGTGCACGTGCACATGCATGTGTGTGCGTGTGTGCGTGCGTGTGTGTGCACATGCATGTGTGTGCATGTGTGTGCATGTGTGTGCGTGCATGTGTGCGTGCGTGCATGTGTGTGCATGTGTGTGCACATGTGTGCGCGCATGCATGTGTGCATATATGCGTGCATGCATGTGTGTATGCGTGTGTGTGCCTACAGTGTGGGTTGGTTCTCTCTGGAGATGGAACTCAGGTCATCAGTCTTGGCAGCAGGTCTCTTTATCCACTGAGTTACCTCACCAGCCCCTTTCATGTGACGCTGAAGGTACAGCCTTTCCTCTACGCCTGTTTATTCTCCACCGCCCAACCCCCGCCTCCAGAGAATGGCTGCTTTCTGTCGTTTCTTCTTTTTGTTCCTGGAGGCATCTCATTTCCTCCTTCCAGTCAAAGCCCCACACGGGAAACTAATCAGCCAGCACACCATTCTACCATGGAATGTACCTGACTGGCAGAGTGAAAACCAAGAGCGGCCCCATGATTTGTAAGTTAAAGGCCAAGATTCCGTATCTACAGCACAGCTTTATGTGTGCCCTGCATTTACAGATTATCCTGAGATCATAGAGCCTCTGCTGACTCGGGGCAGTGGGTCGGTTCCTGAGCCCACGAAGCCAGAAGAACCGTATGCGTGGCTCAGGTAGGAGCCGTCCTCTCCAGTAGCCACAGCCCCATCTCAGCATGGCAGCCAGAGACGCAGGAGCCTTACAGCCTTTGCCTTCTTCTGCAAGTCCACAATTTGCGACAGCAGATGCGTGATCTCCTCCTGCTGGCGAGCAGCATCTTCTGTCTTCTTGGCCAGCTCCTCTGAGATGCTCGCAATCTGGACGTTGGCATCCCCTGTGACAAAGTAATGACAAGCAGGTGGCTGAGTTGGAAAAGCACACACAAGCCAGGGAGTGAACAGTGTCTTAATGGGGGGAATGGAGATGGACATGAAGGGAGTCACAGTGGACATCCTTCAAAGTGAAAATGTGGCTCCTTTGGGCTGCAAAGAGAAGGAACCCAGGCTTCTCATGGGCTGTCCCTCCTGGAAGGGCTGACTACTGACGAAGGCTGTCCCCAAGGCAGGTCAGGCAGGCCCCAGGAAGGGAGCTGGAAGTGGCACAGCTGAACTCCCACGTTCCACCACGCTCAGATCCACCCCATGGCAGGAGCTCTGCACACTGCGATTCCCTGTGGCTTTCCCTTGCATTTGGAGCAGAAGCCCATTTTCCTAGATGTGAGCATGAGCTCTGTTTCACTTCACCGAAATGCCTTTCTCTTATCTTACCTGGAAACTTACAACAGAGAGGATGGGGAAAACCCCATTAAAATTAAATGTCCACCTCACTGAGAGCATGGCTCATGATTCACAAAGGGGCAAAAGTCGCCACACAGTCTGGCATAGGCCTCCTGCTTTCAGAAAAATGCCACTGGGCTTTTGGGTGGTGGGGACGGTGATGGGGGTGTCTGAGAAGGGGGGGGCAGACATACTCAGCTCCTTCACACAGTCGTTCACCAGCTGCTGTTCCTTTTCCTCATAGGTGATGGTCTCGGTCTTCAGCTGACAGGCCTGTGGATGGGACTTAGTCAGGGAACAGTGCTCACACAATCAGGACTGGCAGGTGGACCAGGGTCCAGGCACAGAGCTGGGCAAACCCCTCCAACATCTCTGCACCTGGGACCATCGCATGTCCAGGACAGACACCTCATCTACAATCCCTGCCGGGGTAATGGGCACATTCCTAAAGCAGAGATCTGAAGGCTACTGGCCACCAGGGGGCGCCACACAGAGAC